CAGGACAGCCGAGCAGACTGCTACCACTGTGCTTCGGAAAGCTTCTAGTAAATAAAGTGAACTGATGACAGGATATAATTACTTACCGATGCCCTCAATGAGTCTCCGCGGCAGAAGCTTAACGTAGCAAAGGATCAGGCCCGTTAGGTCGCCAGGGTCCTTAAAAATGTCCGGACGCATCCTCACCAGGTCGTCGATAGGGTACTGAAATGTGTCAGGGCAGTAACTGTATGGATCACTTTGGAAGGATGCCAGTGTAATACAATTAAGCAGGACATGAGAAAGGAGATATCAAGTGTCATCTTAAACTCACTGTGTTGATCAGGTGCATTTTTGTATATAGGCTCAGGGACATCGGCGAATCGGTGTACAAGTCAGCAGAGCTAATTCCGAGGGATTCTAGTTTCTGAATCAATACCACCAAGACATGCGGAACGCCCTAAAATACGGTAATAGTTGATCCTGTGAGGCTTGCAATCAGCATTTCCTCTCATTGCTTACGATGTTTGAAGTATGCAATTTATAAGCAAGTTGGAATTACTTACAGGCTGCCGAAGACTTTGTTCCTGGAACTCAATTGGTGCGCCGAAAACTGCGCCCATCAGATTGCCACAAAGTGGGTTTTCCGCCTTCTCGTCTGGTATTTCGTGAAATACTTCGGTGCCCCTCTCCTGGTCTTTGGTCTGAAATGGAAAGATGCAGGGATGAGGCACACTTCTCTCTCAGTCGTCACAATGTCTGGGCTGAAGGATCATAGTGAATGAAAAAGAGGACAGATTTTTTAATTCGCCACCCAATCTGTTGCAAAATGACTTAGTCTGGTTTCCATGAAGAGGGAAGTTCACATCAGGCGTTTCGAAGGTAAACAAAATCCTTTCAACCAGAGCTACAAGAACAGATTAACTAGAAGCAAAAGCCGTTTCGGTCATCTGGTGCGACGTTGTGCGGTGCCTATCATGCTTAGCATTCTACATCGTTGATTGTTGCAGAATCAGTTATGTTCTACTAAACGTCAAATAAGTCTCCACTTCCATTACATTGATAATACGTTCTGCTGTGACCCTCGCGTCCTGTGTTGATAGCGGAAAGGCTGACTTCCAATGCCAGTCTCCGCACATGTCATGCTTACCATTAAGTGTCTGCTCAGACTCCAAGAGACCAACAGCTTCTAATGACGCTTATGTCGTGCACCCTTCCCCCTCTCCGGTCTGACATGGAAAGATCCAGGGAGGAGGCTGAAGGAACAAGAAAGAGGATAGATTTTTCATTCGCCACCCAGTCTATTACAAAATGATATAGTGGTAGTCCATGAGTCCGTTTCTCCGATAAGGAATATTTGTATCTGAGATGCTTATATAAGGAAGATATTTTCAACTCGAGTCACAGTTACACATTAACTAGACGCAATAGAACTTTCTACTGTGAGGCTTGTAATCAGCAGCAATTTTTAAGCAACTGCTCCAGTTTTCTTATCTACTGAAGCAATATTTCATCTTATTGCTTACGATGTTTGGAGTATGCAATTGATAGGTAAGTTGGGATTACTTACAGGCTGCCATAGATTTCGTTCCTGTGAATCAATTGGTACGTCAAACACCGTGTCCAACAAAGTGCCCAAATGTGGAGTTGCCTTCTTTTCGTGAACTAATTCGGTGCCGCTT